TGCTTTGACCACCTCCCATAATCCAAGAAGATTGGTGTTAATTCCTTAATCACCACTGGGCCATCTCGCCCCAGGCTTTCATGCGTTGGAAGTTCACTGGCCGCTGATTCAGTCCCTTTGCCTGTTATGTACCTACCCGGATTCCCTCTTTCTGAAGAGAAGCACAGAACGTTCATGCTGTTTGCTAGGCAGACATTTTATGCAGGCAGAGTTCATTTAGGGCCTCCGGTGGTCTTGGTTTGTGTTTCCACTCATTGATTTAGTTGGATCACTGAGGAACATTTACTAGGTATCTGCAGGGCTTTCATAAGCACACAGCCCAGGACATCACGTGGTATTTTTAAATCTTAAAAAAGAAATCCAGTGGCACTCCTGAGCTCCCTTCTGGTTATGTGATGTAAGTGTGCACAGGGCTGACGGCCATGCCTTCCTGCGAAGGATGGGTCTGCGCCCCTCCCTACCTGCCACACCCTCAACGCGGAGCTGAGCCCTCAGGCACCTTGGCAGGGAATCCCGGCGTGGAGAGCGGTCCCAGGGAGGGACTCGCCTCCCAGCTTTGAGTGTGTGGCCCCATCTGACTCCACTGGGACGTGCCAGGAAAGGAAGCAACCTTCGACAGAGGAAATCTTTGGCAGAGAGAGGATGCCAAGAAGTGGTTGTAAAAACGGAAGTTCAAGGACAGCTGTAAGTTTAGCAAGGTCATTGTCTGAAGATGCCCTGCTCCTCCCCACTCTTCACCCTTCAGCCCACGCGGGCGTGGATCTCAGCGCTTTTTCTAAGTTAAATTTCAACGTGATGCTGTTACATAATAAAGGGCGCTCTCCTTAGGGCTCCAGGAGGTCGGCAAGCTGGCTGTGCTGCGGCAGTGAACCACAGGAGGATCCTTGCCTTTCCTGGAGAGGACGGGCACAGGAGAGCGAGGGCGCGACTGTCAGAGGAGCAGGATGGGAGGAAGGAGAGACACAGCCACCGGGCAGCTGGACCTCTCCAAGCGCTGGGCGTGGAGGGCACGAACAAGGGACTCTTACCATTTGGGGCTGGAAAATTATTGCGATTTCATTTTCAGTTAAACAAGTGTTTATCGTTAGGGAGGAGGAATCTCGAGGACCGGGTTCCGTCCCCAAATACTGCAGATGGAAGGGGTGCATCTTTCCCTCCAAGCCCAGGGCCACATCCTGGAAGGCGGCCAGGCCCGGGGTCACAGCGCGGAGCACTCTCTCCCAGCCGCGGCGCCGGGCGCCCAGCAGCCCTCGGGTCACGCCTGGACTCATTCTGCCCCGCGCAGTGCAGACCCGACGGGGCTCTGTGCGGTCCTTTCCCTGTCCCGAGCTTGCAGCGTCAGGGCCACCTGGGCAGGGGCCTCGGGTAGGTCCCCGAGAGTAGGGAGGGGGCGGAAGCCGCTCTCCCCTGAAGAAGGCGGGCGTGGGGGCGGGGAGGAGAGGAGAGGAGAGTGGAGCTTTCTGGGACCTCTCTGAAGTTTTGGGCGTGGGAAGTGTTCCCGGGCTCAGCGCGCAGCCAGGGGAGGGAAAGCAGGCTCGGGGGTGGGGAACTGAGCGCCCTGGCTCGCGGCGTGACGCGCG